GGGGAGCCTGCTCCTCCTTCTGCCTGCCTGTCTCTCTCTCTGTGACAAATAAACTCTTTTTAAAAAAGTGAGAAAAAGGATTTAAGAGAAAGTGAGAGATATTAGAGAAAGATGAAAAATATCAAAAATACAAATAGTAGAAGTTCCTGAAAAAGACTTAAAGAACAGAAAACTAGGAAAACTACAATTCAATAACACTTCCCTAAGATTGTGGGGGAAGACTGGAGACCGCATATTAAAAAGACACACTATGATGAGAAAAACGTAAACTCTAAAAAAAAAAATTAAGGAAGAATTAAGTAAAGAGATATTCCATGTTTATGGATAGGAAGACGCAATACTGTCAAGATGTCAGTCCTTTCCACTCTGATCTAAGGATTCAGTGCAATCTCATCAAAATCCCAGCAAGTTATTTTGTAGATATCGACAAACTGATTCTAAAAGTTTATATGAAGAGACAAAAGACCCAGAGAAGCCAACACAATATTGAAGGAGAACACAGTTAAAGGAATGACACTACCCAACTCCAAGACTTACTATAAAGCTACAGAAATCAAGACAGCATGGTAATGGTTAAAGAACAAATAGATCAATGAAACAGAACATAGGTCAGAAACAGACCTATATAAATATGGTCAACTGATCTTTAACAAAAAAGCAAAGGCAATTCAATGGTCCTGGAACATCTGGACATCCCAGCCCCCTTTCCCCAAACACATTATCTAGACACAGACCTTACACCATTCTCAAAAATGAACTCAAAATCGAACAAAGACGTAGATGTAAAACACAAAATTATAACATTAGAGAAGAAAATCCAGATGACCTTGAGTTTGGCAATGACTTTTAGATATACTACCAAAGGCATGATCCACCAAAGACAGAATTAATAAGCTGGACTTTACTAAAATTTAAAATTTCTGCTCTATGAAAGACACTATCAAGAAAATGAGAAGACAAGTCACAGACTAGAAGAAAATATCTGCAAAAGGCAAAGACTTAAAGCACTGTTAACCAATACATACAAAACACTCTTACAACTCCACAATTAAAAAAACCTGAACAATCCAATTTAAAAATGAACTAAAGGGGCACCTGGGTGGCTCAGTGGGTTAAAGCCTCTGCCTTCGGCTCAGGTCATGATCCCAGGGTTTTGGGATCAAGCCCCACATCAGGCTCTCTGCTAAGCGGCGAGCCTGCTTCCTCCTTTCTCTCTCTGCCTGTCTCTCTGCCTACTTGTTGTGATCTCTGTCAAATAAATAAGTAAAATCTTTAAAAAAAAACCCAAAAAACATATTGTGGTATATCTCTACAATGTAATATTATTTGGCATTAAAAAGAAATGAGGTATCATATGATGAAAAGACATGGAGGAAAGGTAAAATGCATATTACTAACCAAAGAAGCCAGTCTGAAAAGACTACATATTGTATGATTCCAACCACGACATTCTAGAAAAGGCAAAACTAATGAGATAGTATAAAGATTGGTGGTTGCTAGGAGTTCTAGAGGAGGGAGGAATAAATAGGTAGAACACAGGGATTTTCAAGGGCAGTAAACTGTTTTGTATGATATTATAATAGTGGATATGTATCACTACATATTTGTCAAAATCCATGAAAAATAGAACACCAAGAGTATACTTTAATGTCTACCATGGATTTGGGATGATCATAATGTGTCAATGTTGGTTCACCAATTGTAACCACTTTAGAGAAGGGAGACTGGGAGGCTGGGAGGGGGAGCATACATCAGAGGAAGGAATGTACTGAAACTCTACTGTCTATTAATCAATATTGCTATGAATCCCAAATTACTCTAAAACAAAAGTAACTATTAGGGGGAAAAAACCACAGCACCTACTAGAAAAATGTATTTTTAAAAACTACTAGAAAAAAATATTTTTAAAAAATTTTAAGGAAAAAGATATTCTTTCGAGTATCCAACCAAAAAGAAAATAAGATTGTCATCAGATTTCTGACAGAATAAAATGGAGTTTTATATAATAAGACATTCAAGGGATGGAAATGTAGGCCAAGGATTTATATTCCAACTGACCTTCAAAAATAAAGTCTTAAGGGGCACCTGGGTGTCTCAGTTAGGCATCCAACTCTTGATTTGGGCTCTGGTCATGATCTCAGGGTCATGAGACTGAGCCCTGCATTTGGGGTGGTTAGTGCTCAGTGGAAAGGCTGCTTGAGATTCTCTCCCTCCCCATCGCACACTATCTTTCAAATAATAAATATATAAATCTTAAAAAAAAAAAAAAGGAAGAAAGTCTCAAGACAAACTGCTATAAACACGCAAAATCTCTGGTCGTATTGTTCACAGGAGCCCTTCTATTACAAAAAGAACTTAAGATAATCAAATTGTTGAGAAACTGGCATAAAGATTGGAAGACTAGAGAACACTGCAGGTCCTTTATGTTCCTCATTAAATCCACAAAACAACCCTTAATAACAGTGTTTCCATTCTACACATGGAGAAACTGAATGTCAAAGTCAGTGGAACTTGTCCATGGGCAAATGTCACTGGGCAAGTGACTGAACCAGAATTGGACCAGAGCCCATTCTCCTTCCACAGCATGAAGTTGCTCCCACATACATATTAAATAAACCCTTTTTGTCTTTGCATATACTGGGATTGTGTATTCCCTGGAACTTCATTCTCTCCCTTATTTACCCATTGAGCTCTTTTTTTATTTTTGGCCTACCTCAAATCACTTGCTCTCTCTGTGGCTTTCTCTGATCCAAAGGGCCTTATCATCCTTAACAAAATTATACAGTACTGACAACGTAAATCCTCCTAATCTGTGGCTCCATACCAGTATACATACAACATTTCCAACATAGACTTTGTCACGTGTGATTTCCAGGTGATAAGAAACTGTGATTTGTGTTAAAATCCCAGCACAGAGCATATTCTAAGTAATTATAGTTAGGGAAAGATTAAAGAGGGCAGATGACAACTCTAAGAAGTCATATATCCAAGATAAAGTTAAACATCTCTACACTACCTCTTAACTATGTGCATACTTTTATCCTTGACTTTTTCATGCAATATTACCACTTACTTGTTTTCATTTGTATCTGTCCTCTGAGAGCAAGGATGATCATTTTACTCTTTGTACCTTTACTGCTTAATACATGGAAGCAAGAATAGCTAATTAGTATTCCATAAATATTTGGTAAATTGAAGTTAAAAAAAAGTAAGACATATCATAAATTAATTCTCAGTTCCAATTCTCTGAAGATGGATTATTTAAAAATGAAGAAGACCTGCCTTCACACTGCCTAGGTATTATTATATATCAAATTATATACATTAAGCAATAATGATTTTACATAAAAGAAATCAGAATCTAATGTTTTTAAAGTAATAGTTCTAATGAGGATAAACATATAAAGAACTTTCAGATTACAAAATAATCTCCATTTTTTATCATTATTTTTTAAAATGTTTTAGCCCAGAGGCATTCTTTGTCCTGAATAAAGCCTCAGGCATTTTGACAATAGGATCAGACTAAGATATAAGAATATTGTTACTAGTATTTTTGTTTTTGATCAGTGTCTAGCATACAACTGCGCAATTTCCAAACACAAGACTGTGAACAATTACAAATACACATATTTTGTGTTCTTACCCTTTCTTCAAACAAGTAATTATACATACAATCTCTTTTCAAATTGCGTTTTTCTAAAGAAAGTGCTAGAATGATCAAAATAGTAAAGAAAAAAATAAGTAAAAAAATAAGTCTACTTTTTACACTTTAATAACACATGTTCAGGTTTATCTCACTGGCATATTGGTATCTGGCCAATTTCTTTAAATACACTGTGAATAACCTTACCTCCTATGTTATTTTTTTTTGTCAGTTCCAATGTGAGCATCACTCTAATTCAAAGAACTCTCTATATTCAATATTCTCCATATTTAAATAATCCATCTTCAGAGAACTGGAACTGAGAAGTAATTTATGACTTGTCTTTTTTTAACTTCAATTTACCAACTATTTATGGAACACTAATTAGCTGTTCCTACTACTATGTGTTAAGCAGTAAAGCTATAAAGAGTAAAAAGATCATCCTTGCTCTCAGAGGACAGGTACAAATGAAAACAAATAAGTGGTAATATTGCATGAAAAAGGCAAGGATAAAAGTATGCACAAAGTTGACAGAGACAGTTAAGGGGAAAAAAAGAGATAGATTGAGAGAGAACACAGGAGTGACACACTTTCGTGTCTAGACGCAAACTCTGAAAAAAGAAAAACCATATTTAGCCCCTCATTTGAATAAGTCCTAAAGTCTGAAAACACCTGTTTTATACATGGACAATCTTCATATGCATAGCTGTAATACCAAGACCCTTAATACTTATGGAATATAAATGTTTTCCTCCCGCTTCACAATTCAACCTCCCCAGTCCTCAGTTGTCAGTCATAGCTACTACAGATATCTTTATTCAACCTAATCCAGAATCCACATGCATTGTTCCTGTATCTTTCTTCATGTAAAATGATGTTTTGACTGTTCTGCTTTTCTGTCTCACCCTAAATACATTTCCATTTCCTTTTAAGATCCCATCCAGGTTATGTCAGGTCAAAATTCAAGACTACAATTTTGAGACAACTCTTCAGAAATACAACTATTTTCCACCTAACTAGAAAATTATTTGACAAAAATATCATCACTTAAAGTAAACATATCTTAAAAATACAATTTGAAATTTTTAAAAAAGATTTTATTTAATTATTTGACAGAGAGAGAGAAAGCACAAGCAGGGAGAATAGCAGAGGGAGAAGCAGGTTCTCTGCATAGCAGGGAGCCTGATGTGGGGCTCCATCCCAGGACCCTGGGATCATGACCTGAGCCAAAGGCAGATGCTTAACTGACTGAGCTACTCAGGTGCCCCTATAATTTAAAGAGCTACTCAGGTGCCCCTATAATTTAAATTTTAATAACATTACTTCTATTATAGAAAAACAACTTGTTTCTGCTTACCACTTCTAACGGTTGTGTTTTCCAATAGTTCTGTCTGAAGTTGTAATTCAGCTTCTCCAAGTATCTTTAGAACTGAATCTGTAGGGCTTCTCCCCCACACTTTTCTTGGAGATCCACCAGGATCTAATTTGATAACTTCTCCCACTGTATGTTCTATAAAAAAAGACACAAAAACAAATTTTGCTGATAGAACATAATACTATTACTGTATTATAAAGCAAATTTAAACATATGCTGCTGATTTTTTTTTTTTTTTGAGATTTTATTTATTTGAGAGAGAGAGACAGAGAGAGCATGAGAGGGGAGAAGGTCAGAGGAAGAAGCAGACTCCCCGAGGAGCTCGGAACCCAACGCGGGACTTGATCCTGGGACACCGGGATCATGACCTGAGCCGAAGGCATTTGCTTAACCAACTGAGCCAACCAGGTGCCCCTATGCTGATGATGTTTTAAAATACTTTCAGGGGCATGTGGTGGCTCAGTTGGTTAAGCATCTCTCTCTCTCTCTTTTTTTTTTTTGGTTGTATGAAAGAATTTTTTTTTCCCTATTAACATATAATGTATATTTGTTTCAGGGGTACTGATCTGTGAATCATTCATCAGTCTTACACAATTCACAGCACTCACCACAGCACACACCCTCGCCAATGTCAATCACCCAGCCATCCCAACCTGCCCACCCCCCTTCCCTCCAGCAACCCTCAGTTTGTTTCCCATGATTAAGAGTCTCTTATATTACATGGAGCCCTGGGTGTGGTGCATAAACAATGATTCTTGGAACACTGAAAAAATAAAAAATTTTTTTAAAGAATCTCTTGTAGTTTGTCTCCCTCTCTGGTTTTGTTTCATTTTTCCCTTCCTTCCCTTATGATCCTCAGTCTTGTTTCTCAAATTCCTCATACCAGTGAGAACTTATGATAATTGTCTTTCTCTAATTGACTTATTTTGCTTAGCATCATAGCCCAATTAGGCTGCATAATATTCCATTGTCTATATATATACACACCACATCTTCTTTAAGTGCTGAGCACTTTTTCATGTGTCTGTTGGCCATTTGGGTGTCTTCTTTGCAGAAATATCTGTTCACATACACTTGTGCCCATTTCTTGATTGGATTATTTGTTCTTTGGGTGTTGAGTTTGGTAAGTTCTTTATAGATTTTGGATACTAGCCCTTTATTTGATATGTCATTTGCAAATATCTTCTCCCATTCTGTTGGCTGCTTTTTGGTTTTGTTGAGTGTTTCCTTTGCTGTGTAAAAGCTTTTTATCTTGATAGAAATCCCAGTGGTTCGTTTTTGCCATTACTTCCCTTGCCTTAGGAGATGTTTCTAGGAAGAAGTAAGCATCTGACTCTTGATTTTGGCTCAGGTCATGATCTTAAGGTCATGAAATGGAGCCCAGGTCAGGCTTTGCGCTCAGTGGGGAGTTTGCGTCTCTCCCTCTGGCCCTCCCCCTGCTTGCTCTCTCTTTCTCACTCAAATAATTTTTTAAAAAATTTTTTTAAAATAAAAGACTTTCAGAAAATGATAGAATGAATGACGAATGATATTACTAATATTAGTAGTAAAAATATGGACAAATGCCTTTTAAAATACTTATGGGGGGCTCAGTTGGTTAAGCATCTGACTCTGGATTTCAGCTCAGGGTCGTGAGATCAAGCCCTTTGTTGGCTCTGGGCTCAGAGACGAGTCTGTTTGGGTTTATCTCCTTCTCCCTCTGTACCCCCCCCCCAAGTAAATGAACAAAATCTTTAAAAAATATTGGGGGGGGCAGAATCAATATGGCAGAGTAGGAAGATCAAGAACCCAACTCCTCTTAAAAAAAAAAAAAAGATTTTATTTATTTATTTTAGAGAGACAGAGATAGCATGAGGAGGGAGGAGAAGAGACAAGCAGGCTCCCCTCTGAGCAGGGAGCCCAATGCTGGGCTTGATGCCAGGACCATGACTTCTGAAGGCAGATGCCTAGCTGACTGAGTCACCCAGGCACCCCAAAAACCCAACTCCTGTTGTGGATACACCAGAATATACAACTATATATAAACAACTACCTCTGAGAATGAAATAAAGACTAGCAGAACAGATCATGTAGAACGAAAAATATGAAGAAAAAGCCACATTGAGATTATTAGAGAATGGAGACACAATTTAGTCACAGCCCACATCCCTGGCACAGTGACCCACAAGTGAGTGATATCACAACTACAGAGGCCCTTCCTGAGGACTGAGGGGTCTGAGCCCCACATGAGGTTCCACAGCCCAGGGGACCTGCATCAGAAAGACAAGAACCTGTAACATTTGCTTTGAAGACCAAGGATGCTTGCTTATGTTTGGGAGAGCCAGAGAGCAGAAGGAAACAGCAACTCTATTTTTAAAGAGCATATGCACAATGTCACTGACTCCAATATAGTGTAGCAGTTTGAAAACTATCTGGGCTACAAGTGAAGGAAATCCACTGACTTAACTGCCAGAGGGGCAGGGATTTGTTGGAAAAGTTCACCATGGATGTAAGTGCTAATGTGTACAGTTTTTCATATCTTCCTTTTACCTAGCTGACCCAGCATTGGTAGGTGCCATTTATTTATTTATTTATTTTCTATCTTCTTTCCTTCCTTCCTTTTCTTTCCTTCTTTCTTTAAGATAGTTATTATTTAATTCATTCATTCATTTAGAGAGTGCAAGCAGAGGAGGTGCAGAGGGAGAAAGAGTATCCCAAGCAGACTCAGCAGACTCACCCCTGAGTGCACAGCCCAATGCAGAGCTTGACTCTACTACCCAAGATCATAACCTGAGCCAAAAACAAGAGTTGGACACTCAGTCTACTGAGTCACTAAGGTTCCTGTGGTAGGTGCCATTTCTGACACTCTCCACTTATAGTGCTAGCACCACTAGCTCTATCCTGGCATTCCCCTGTGGATTTGCCCCACACAACCTATCCACCCAGGCCCAGAGTCCCTTCCCTAACATGCCTTTAAGTTGGTCAGGAGCCCCTCCCAAGCAATTCCTTCTCCCATCACTCCTGAAGAGCACCATCAGGCAGCACCTCAAGTTCACCTCCTAAGTGAGCCCAATCTGGGGGGTCGGTCCTTAATATTAGAACACTTAGAAAGTTGCAGCCAGATCTCACAACAAGTCATACTGAGGGCCAGCCCCACTTACCAGTATACATGCAGCAGTGAAAGTCAGACCTCACAGACAGCTGCATAAACCAGTGAGTCTGCAATAATCTTGACCAAGCTACAATAGGAGGGTACAGGCAGCCCCCACCCACCATAGGGAACACTCATGGGAACCTCGCTCAGGTGACCATGGGGGTTTGTGCTACTAGGCCTCTTCTGCATAAAGCCATTCCTTCAAAATCTGGAGGTATAACTAATCTACCTAATACACAGAAACACAGAGAGGCAAAATAAGGAGACAGAGAAGTATGTTCCAAACCGAAAGAACAAAACAAAACCTTAGGAAAAAAACTAAACGAAATGGAGACAAGCAATCTACCAGATAAAGAATTCAAAGTAATGGTCATAAAGATGTTTACTGAACTCAGAAGACAACAGGGTGAGAACTTCAACAAAGAGATTAAAAATATAAAAAGAACCAATCAGAGCTAAAGAATACAATAACTGAAATAAAAAATAAACTAGAGGGAATCCATAGCAGATTAGATGATAGAGAAGAAAGGATCAATAATCTGGAAAGCAGTGTAGTGGCAATTACCCAATCAGAACAGCAATAAGAAAAAAGAATTTTTAAAAATGAGAAGTTTGGGGCGTCTGGGTGGCTCAGTGGGTTAAAGCCTCTGACTTCGGCTCACATCATGATCTCAGGGTCCTGCAATCGAGCCCCACATAAGGCTCTCTGCTTGGTGGGGAGCCTGCTTCCCCCTCTCTCTCTCTGCCTGCCTCTCTGCCTATTTGTGATCTCTGTCTGTCAAATAAATAAATAAAATCTTTAAAAATTTTTTTTTTAAAAAATGAGAATAGTTTAAGGGACCCTTGGGACAGCATCAAGTACATTATAGCGTCCCAGAAGGAAAAGAAAGGAACAGAACACCTATTTGAAGAAATAATTGCTAAAAACTTCCCTAACCTGGCCAACGTAAAATACATCAAAGTCCAGTAAGGAGAGTTCCAAACAAAACAAACCCAAAAAGACCTCACCAAAACATATTACAAGGCACTGACAATTAAAAATAAAGAGAGAATCTTTTAAGCAGCAAGAGAAAAACAACTAATTTTTCAGCAGAAACTTTACAGGCCAGAAGAAAGTGGCATGATATACTCAAAGTCCTGAAAGGAAAAACACTTATAAACAAGAATACTCTCCCTGACAAAGTTATCATTCAGAGCTGAAGGAAGATACAGTTTCCCAGACAAGCAAAAGCTAAAAGGAGTTCATCAATGCCAAACTGGCTCTCCAAAATATGTTGAAAGGATTTCATTAAACAAAAAAGAAAAGACTATAACTAGAAATGAGAAAATTATGAAAGAACAAATCTTACTGGTAAAAGGTAAACGTAAAACAAAGGTCATGGATCAACCACCCTCATATCTAATGTGAAGTTTAAAAGATAAGAATATTACAATCATGTTGTTGGGGAAGGGGATAAAAATGCAGTGCTTTGACAATGTGCTTGAACCTTCAACTTAAAATATACTTCTAGATATATAGGATGTTATAACATGAACCTCATGGTACCCATAAACCAAATACCTATACTGAAAAAATAAAGAGAAAGGAATACAAACATAATACTAAGGGAAGTCACCAAAGCACAAGGGAAAAGAGCAAAAGAAGAAAACAGTACACAGAAGAACTACAAACTACAGAAAACAATAAAGTAAATGGCAATAAGTACATACCTATCAGTAACTATTTTTAATGTAAATAACCTAAACATTTCAAAGAAAAGACACAGGGTGGATGAATGGATAAAAAACAAGGTCCAGGGGCACCTGGGTGGCTCAGTGGGTTAAGCCTCTGCCTTCGGCTCAGGTCATGATCTCAGGGTCCTGGGATCGAGCCCCGCATAGGGCTCTCTGCTCAGCAGGGAGCCTGCTTCCCCCTCTCTCTGCCTCTCTGCCTACTTGTGATCTCGGTCTGTCAAATAAATAAATAAAATCTTCAAAAAAAAAAAAAAAAACCAAGGTCATT